TACTGTATTTATTCATGTATAATACCAGAAATTTAACCCTAAAAATCATTCATAAAGTGGGGGGATAGTATTATACACAGGTTATTGTTAATTAGGTTTTTATGCTTTGTAAGCTCAAAAAATGATCATATTATACTAGAGATCATTTTATTCATGAATAAATATGGTAATTTGAAGTTAGTAATAAAAGGTACTAAACCTTAATCTGACCACATTCTCAACAACCTTCTTTCCAAATTGACACAACTTTATAGTTTCTCAAACATGGTCATTGAATATTTCCTGGAAGTGTAATAAACATTCCCTGAAGGTTTCATAGAAATCCGTTCGCTAATTTTTGAGATATAAGCCCAAGAAGCAACAGGGGGCAATTTTGGCCAAACTTGGCCACAGATCAAGCCCTGTAGGCGGGGACAGGTTGATAGCTGGCCGTGCGGAGCTCCAGTGATTCCTGGTTGTCACACTCACTCCTCCTGGACAACAGAAGTGGAGACGGGATGGAGGAGTAGCCTAATCCCCGTTGCAGGGCTCCTTTGTCTTTAAAATATGAAAATAAATAAAATAAATGCACCTCGGAGTTCGACGAACCTTCAGGAAGCTACAGCTGACAGAAATTTGAACCAAACCACACGGCTTGTTTAATAGATTTTGGTTGTCTAAGATTAAATAATATATTCCCTTCTCCTGCATCAAACAGAAATAAAAACACACAATAGTTTCAGGAAATGTCAAAGCGAGTCGRGCAGACCGCCTGGGCTCCACGTCCAGGGGGAGAAGCTAAACCCACTTAAGCCTGAATGCATTTTATCAGGCATACAGATGATAAGTGCCTTCCAACCTACTAGGAGGTAAAGGAAGGACAGTCTGCAGACATTGTAGAACTGATAACCTCTAATAAGAGACATTTATTGGACTGAAAACATTCCATTCATAACTGGTGGTTCCTGAATGCAACACCTTGTCCAGCCTGTGTTGAGCTGTCAATCATGATTCTGCACCGCCTGTCATCCGAGGCCCCGCCCCCACCTTAAATCGGGGTCATAACTCTGAAACTGAAAATAAAAAGTTTGAAATTGAAAAAAAAATTTTGAAAGTGAAAAGACAAGATGTTTGAAACTTTTCCAGATTGTAATGCATTGTTTTTCAGTTTCAAAATTGTTTTTCATTTTCAATTTTTTTTCATTTTGAACAAAACATACGACCCCAATTTAGCTCCATACAGCCTGCCATAAACTACAGAGCAGAGATGAACAAAGAAACAAATCCAGCCTGAACAACAACACAACCATATGAGCAGCAATCAACAGCAGCCAAAAAAACAAGAAGAGCACAGGGTTTCCCCTAGGATTGTTTTTAACCGTGGTGGTGGGGGACCTCTCATGAGCGGGGGGGTGTTAAAATGTAATTTAATAAGTATATTGTTCTGTATACAAAGTTTACTACATAAAAATGTTGTCAGTCTGCAGGTTGACAGTTTTAGGAGCTGCTTGAGGAGAACTTCCTCGTTCTCCTCATCCTCTTTGAAATGGAGATAAAAAAAACCAACATCCATAAGCTTTCTGCTTACAGGTCAAACATTTTTATTTAAATAGGAGTACACTGTGTACATGGCCTTATTAAATTACAGTTTAGTGTTCTTAGGACTGAAGACTTTCTGAGGAAAGAGGTTTTTAAACATCTTTTCTATCATTTGTTTTTTCAACTGAGGAGCTTTGATATATTTATTTAATTTATTTATTGGGTGAAAGAACAGTTAGTTTAATCCCTAGACGGCTTTAACAAGTTTCTTTCTTTCCCGTTCATTTTTACAATGACAACACATGCAGAGGAAAACTTTAATCCAGGTTTTTTTTTTTCTTGGATGTCCACCGGACAACTGGGAGGCGGGAGCTGGTTGTCTGAAACGAAAACAGGTTGTCTCGGACAAACTTAGCAATGATTGTGTCAACCTCTGTTTTACGTTGATTAAAATAAATTAATTAATTWAAAAAAAACTTCATTCCGAAGGAGTGGCAGCTTTTATTTAGCCGTGGTGGTGCGCCACGATCATTTACATGTAGAGGAAACCCTGGAGCATCATTTTTTTCTTCACATTCAAGGAAAATGAGATTGGCCAAATTTATAATAGAAAAACTTAAAGGCTTACCTGAACATCATAAAGTGCCACAATATTTTCATGCTGCAGTTCCTGGGTCGAAGAAGAAAAACATAAAATAAAATACGTTATCAGGGCTGTAGTGGTTAAAGTGATGACTATCATTAATGATCTTTGGATCTGCTGTCAGATGTTGATAAGTTAGGCATGAAACTCACCTTTAGGATTTTGATTTCCTTGCCCAGAAGGATCTGGGACTTGGACAGGTTCTTCTTATTAATGCTCTTAATGGCCACCTCCCAGTCTGTTTTCTTTACAACACACAGACACCACAGACAAGGAAATGAGTTTAAGCACATTTTTATCATCATGTCTCATCTGTAAAAGCATCCAATTTCAGTTCATGACCTAATTTCTTTTATTTCCTTGCCCAACATTCTAGTCTAGTTTGTTTGTATACAGTATGAATGTCATCACAGTTATTTTAATCATTATGGTCTTTTTTTAACTATACTGCTTAAATGAATTTTAATCTCCCATCATAAATACAGAGTTTGGTTAGTCCTGCTATGTAACACCTGCCTGGAAGGAGTTTAATTTTAGCACCTGGTCACTTGGCTTTCTAAGAACTAATCCAGCCTCCTGAGTTGAAAGACATGACGAAGCACTCAGACGACAGCTGGAACAAGAGCCAGCCTACTTACACTGACAGCCGTGTGACAGGAAACACAGCTATTTTTATTTCCTGCCCCAGAGCTGCTCTACAGTATTTTCACATGGATTCATGGAGCAAGTTTAAAAACAAATCCTTCCTGCAGCTCAGGTGAACTTAGAACATCTCTAGGATCATGTGCTGCACACATGTAGAACCACACCCAGGAGCATCAGAGGGTTTCTAAGAACCAATCAAACGGTATGAGACACTAGCTGTGTTTCCATTACAAATGTGCGCAAAACGTTGTCGATATTCTGTTAATGTCGAAAAACAGTTTCACAACTGCCGTGTTTCCATTA